AGGGGTTTGTTGCTCGCTCGAGAATCTCCTGCTTCACTGTTTTTGAAGCCATGAGAAAGAGAGAGAACTTAGGGGAAGTGTGAAGAAAAAAGGGTTGAGCTTTTCAGTTGCAACGTGAGCGGCAGGGTGTTAAAAGGGGAGATCACGGAAAAGGGACCGTTCAGTTCTTGGATTCGAGGAGCTGGGTTACTCGGAATTAACTGGACCCGTTCGCTGTTCGTCTGCCTCTAGTACTTAGTACGAGTGATGAGATGCCCGGAATAGGTGGCTTGGTTTTTTAGATGGTAAGGGTCTGTTTGTTTGCACGGAAGTAACTGTGAAATAGCAGAAGTAGAGGAAGTAGAAGGTACTTCTGTTACTTCTATATAAAAATATATGTTTGTTTCTTTTGAAAATTCACTTCCATTACTTTCTTAAATAATAATGTGGCGCCTACATGGCAACTCTATTTCCTAAATTTTTCTCCGTCATCGAAGCTCTGAAATACGGCGGAACTTATATAGGATGGGGTCCATCGGGAAAAAAACGCTGGTGAAAACTATAATTAGGAAGTGATCGATTTCCTTCTTATCTATATCCTCACAATCAACAGACTCTTCCCATTCTATTAATATCCTCACAACCGACTTCGCCATCTTCACCTCAAACTCGCGATTCTAGTCTTCGCGGCAAAAAATGGTCCTTCCTTGTTCATCGTTCTTCCTCTCTTCACCAAAAAGGTATGTAAAGATTAAAAATTTGATCCTTTATTGTAATTAAATTCATGCAACATTTCTATATTATTTGTGGAAATCTTCCATAAAGCTTAATCTTTTAGTTTCCTTTGAGACATAATATTCAAAATAATTGGGGTTATTTTGGTTCATGTAAAAATAAATCAGAATAAGCTATTTTGGTGTCGGGTCTAGGTTGTTGTTGTCTGTCTTATTGGTCTTCTTCTAGACGTGGCCGATTTGATGTTGTTGCCTTTTTCCTTTTTTTTTCTTTTTTCTACTCTTTTTAATTTTTGGTGCCTAATTGTTTGTTTATCAAAGTCATTTATGTAGCACGGATTCAAAGTCAAATAAATGCTCTAGGCAAATTGGATAAGTATTGGATGTGGAGGCAAATTTGTGAAGGTAAATTTTTGTTGTAGAACGTGTCACTAGCCTTGCTTGTTTGTTTTCTGATGGAGCACCGATCTGAATAGGACTGTGGTGTTGATGCTTATTCTGTTGCATGCCTTTGGCCTATTTCCTTGTCTTCTCGGATCTGTGAAGTGAATCATGGATTTCAGTTTATGCCTGTAACAACACAACATGTTTTGGCTAAGCTTGGAGATGAGAATCAATTACACTCAGGTATGTACATTTATTCTTTTCGGTGGTTTTCCTTTGAAAGTTGCTTTCTTGTTTTGGTTTCTACTGTGGCCTGGAGTTGGGATATGTTCTCTGGGAGATTGCTTTGCTAGTCATGGTTTGCTGGACATGCTTATATTGTTGGAAGCATTATGTAACTTTTAAATATAGGAATGGCTGAATCGAGGAGCATTTGACCGTTGTATTGTCGAACAAACAAAACCTAGAAAAGGAAGTAGAGGAAATATATAAATAAGCAGAGTGCACTGTAGATCCAGTATTTTTACAAGATCTTGACTATTATGTTGACATCTTCATTCTCTTGTTACTCTTAATACATCTGGCTATAAGTAAGTTCAAGTCTGAATTCTTTATTTTCACCAGAATTGTTTGATAATCGGCTGATGTTATAACTTTTAATGTAAGGATGTTGCTGGACCGAGTATTCATGAGTGTGTGTACTATTTGTGATCAAAATAATTTGTCAAATAAATAAATAAATTGTCTCTTGAAGTGGCGTTACACTAGAATGTTTAACAAATTGAGAATGAGCAAATAAATGAAGTACTCCGAGTGAGAGGTAACAAGACTCAATTAGACTACGATCAACATTTTCTCAGGTTATGCACTGGTAATTTGTTATTCTCAAAAGCAAAAGCAAAAAACCAGGTGTAAATGTGAACAATACTTAAAAAGTTCAAAGAAGAAGAGGAAAGAAAAGGAAAGTGCAATCGCAAACAGAGCACAAATGTTTCAACTAATGAAATTAGCATCAATGGGTAGGATTGCTAAACATATAATCTTATAATTACTTCTACATAATTGTATCTTTTTTGCTTCTCTAGTAATTGCAACTTGTTTATGTTGGTGCTTGTGTCTTGTTATTTATCTTGCTTGCAGATGCTCCATTTACTGACAATCATACAGAGTTATAATATTATTTGAAAAGTTTCTTCACTTTTGTTCTCTGTTTCTCTTAAGTTTATATGTATTTTTCATGTAGATGCTTGGAAGTCCATCAAGTCTCTCTGCCGGGCATACATCCAAAGCTATCATCCTCGTGGTCCTTCCACGCAACCTCAATGTGGTCCTCGTGGTCCGCATCCAGGCCAATCCAAAATGCAACAGGGCATGGCCTATGATTATCCTCAAAGAGGAATGTACCCGTCTAAAACCACATAGTATTTTCACCAGTCATATGCCAGCAGCTACCCACAGCAGCCTCCTCAGAGGAATCCTAGCGCATGATGGGAACAGAGGCCAGTTGTTCGAGCTCAAACCCCTGGTGGCTATGATTACTACGCACAAGGGCATGGAAATAGCGGGGGAACTCAACACCCTAACTCTGCTCCTGTGAACTACTATGGTCAATCTCAAGCTTCAGGTTACAGCCAGCACCCAAATCCATATCCACAATCTGGCCCTCCTCAACAGAGCTATGGAGGACATGGATACAATGACCTTAACTACTATAACCAAGCACCAACACAACAGATGTATGGTCAACAATAGCAGTCAGCTCGCAAGCAGGCTTTTATCCCCCAACAAGCCAACCTTAGGGCACAGGCTACTTACGCCCAACAACCGCCTTATAGCAAACCTGCTGCATATACTGGAGCACCTCAATCAAAATTATATTGATACTATTTTCAAATTAAAACCAAAATTAAAGAGAATTCAGTTTCAATAGGAATGCTCAATTTGAAACCAACCATAATTCTATTTCTATTTCAATGACAATCCAAACAAGAATAAAATGGAAGCAACATGTATTAATTACTTCCTAGTAATATTTCTAAATATTATCCAAACAAAAAAAGTAAATGAAGAGGAAAAAGTTCTACTTCCATTACTTCTAAAAATATATGAAACAAACAAAAAAAATGTTATTTCCGCTACTTCCTATTTCATAGTTTTGGAAGTTACTTCTGTAATCTACTTCTTACTTCCAATACTTCCATTATCCAAACGGAGGTGAAGTAAGTGAAGGGTCGAAAACTGGATAAATTTTCAAAACCACCCTATTTGCAAACTTAATCCTAAAAAACGACCCCTTTAAACTTTATTTGCAAAAACCGACCTAGTTTCAGCCCCAGAGCTGAAACCAGGTCGGTTTTTGCGAAAAAAGTTCTCAAACTTCATGGGAGTTGAACTCCCGTGAAGTTTAACAGCTATTTTAAAATATTGCTAAACTTCACAGGAGTTGAACTCACTTGAAGTTAACTTCAAGCTGAATTTTCAGTCCTCCATGCAATACGCTGACACTCTAGACCTCGAACACCACCTCCGCCGGCGGGACTTGAAGACCGAAGGCTGAGGACCACGGGGGAAGGGGAGCGAAGACCTCTGCGGCGGCGGAGCGAAGGCCAAGATCTAGATCTCGGTGGTGACATCGCTAGGGGGAGGGGAGCGGTGGGACTTGAAGAGGAGGAGGAGGACGATGACGTTGCCGAGGAGGAAGGGGAAGCGAGGGTCGAGGACCACGGGGAGCAGGCGGCGGAGGACCAGAGGATGGCGGCAGAGGGGATGCAGGCAGAGGACCAGAGGACGGAGGCGGAGAGAACGAGGGCTTCGATGACGGCGAAGGACGTGAAGTTCTCCGTGGTCTCGAGAGGAGTTAGGCCCCATGATGATACAGGCTCCATTGCTGGTGGAGAGGCGAGAGATTGGATCTGAGGATTGATGGTGGGTGTGGGGATCGAGAGGGAGTGGATGAGTAGGGATTTATTTATACGGGGAGGATGAAGTCAGAGATAAAAGGAACTTCACAGGAGTTGAACTCCCGTGAAGTGTAGTAGCTTAACAAAATAGCTGTTAAACTTCACGGGAGTTAGGAATTTTTTTGTAAAAACCGACCTGGTTTCAGCGCCAGTGTTGAAACCAGGTCGATTTTTGCAAATAAAAGGCAAATAGGTCGGTTTTTGGGATTAAAAGTCCAAATAGGACGGTTTTAAAAATTCGTCCAACGAAAATTAGATATTGCCTTTATTCTTAAAGAATAGATGTACAGTTTGTTTGGGAGCTTAATAAGGTAAGCCGAGGAATGGTACATGAGGAAAGTGAAATTATTAATTTTCTTTTCTTCTCATTTACTGTTGGATTTGGGGTGTAGAATTTTAGCCTAAAATTTTCGCACATTCCTCTCCTCTACCTTTCCAATAAAACTCCTAAACAAGATTAAACTCAAAATTTTCTTCCCCTTCTCTTCTCTACTCTCCATCTAAACATAGCAGTAGTGTAAAGGGAGCGGAGGGGAGGGGAAGGAAGAATAGCCATAAAATGAACTAAAAAATAGAGAGAGAGAAATCCCTTTAATTAAATTGAAAATATTCAATAAGAGAAAGAAAATAAACTATGAAGGTATGCATCTCTCTCCCCTCCCCTATAGTCAGACATGAAGACTTAAAGTGATGTACATCCCTCTACCTCATTGTATCTCCCCTCACCTCACCTTCCTTCCTCAAATCCCCTGCCAAATCAAGCTAGTGTATGCTTTTGTGCATTCATTTTTGTCATTTTGTATAGTTGAACATAAATTTACTTACCTTCTGAAATTCTCTTTTTCCTAATTCTTGCGATAGCTTGTACTTGTTAATTATTGTTGCTTCTTGTGGTAGCTTGTACTTGTTAATTATCA